ATGACTGAGTGTCCAGGAGTCTAGTCCACTAACTCGATCCCAGCCCTGGGGTCGTCCAGGTACCAGAGAGCAAAGAGGAGCAGGGTCTTCCTCCTCCCTCCAACCCCTTCTACAGCCTCAGAGCTAGGCCCTTCGGGGATGGGGCCAAGTACGTCCTGGGCGGTCAGAGGGTTTGGGGGCTCTCTCTGGCCTGTCTGCCTGTTTCATTCTCACTTTCCCTCCCCCCCTCCCGCCCTTGGGTCTCTCTAGCTCCCCAGACTAGCGGCCTGGCAGCAACCTAACAGCCCCCACCCCCTCCGGCAAGGGCGAAATTGCTAAACTTGTAGCAATAATGACCCTGCATTCAGACAGCCGACTCCCGCTGAACCTCTCCGCGCCCCGGCCCGCCCGGCCTAATCAGAGTGCCCCTCCCTGTTGCCCGCCCAGCCCCCGGCCCCCCGGCCGCCCCTTTCCCCCACACACAAAAAAATCGGGGAACAAAACCCCCGCGCATTTCTCCGTCCCTCTGTTGAGCAGACTGTTGCACAAAGCCCCCGCTCTGAGAAGCAATGGGGAGCTGGGGGGGACGTCAATCCGACGCGCTGGGGTTTTTGTTCGCACAGGGGACCTCGCCTTCCTACCACACCTTTTGTTCGGGACTCCAATAAAAAGCCATTCTTTCCGCACCTTCCCGGCCCGGAGCCGCCTTTCAGCCAGACCCGGCCCCACAATGGCGCGGCGCTCAGAGGCCTCCCCATTCACCCGCCTTGGCACGCTCACAATCGGCCGTGTGGCAGCACAGGCCTCGCACAGGCATTCTCCGCAAGTGACAAGGAGCCGCATAAAGCCGCGGCCGCCGGGGGAGAAGGGAGGGCGGCCGAGGGGGAGAGCTCGGCCCCGGCGGGGCGCAATGTAGCGCCCCAGGGCGCGCTGGAAGGCCGGGTGGTGGCCGAGAAAGGAGCCACCCAAGGCTGAGCCTGGAGGCGAGCTTTTCGTCTATCTTGGAGACCCTCGAAGTGAGGCAGAGTCTCCGCTTGACCGAGGCAGGTCCCCGCACCAAGTCAGTGCATCTGGATAAAATGTAGCGGTGGGTGGGGGATTACAAAGTCTTGGACCTCAGAAGACCCAGAGCCTCCCTCCAGCCTGTTCGGCCCACAACACTAAAGAGAAATTAATGAACAAAGCGATGAAGAGACCAAACTAGCAGCCTGGGGCCTGGCTCAGGAGCACCAGGCCAAGATGCCCAGGGTGCTTTTCCTCACTTCCCGCCCTGCTTAAGGGGGGGGGGGCGCTCCGCAGTCTTTGGGGCTAAACAAGTCTGAAGCAAAGTCAAACAGTTCAGAAATATTGCACCTTCTTTATTGACTCCTGTAGTGTATGACAGCGGGTGTGTACACGGCGTGTGGATATAGTTATATAGAGAGATAATGTGCTGATACAGGATACAAAACAGAAAGGAAACCAACCTGGGACACCTAAGCTGGCCTCCAGGTCCTGGATTTGCTCAGCTGCCTCCCTTCCCCCAACTTTCGATCTCACTGGGGTGGTGGTCTCCAAGAAGAGTCCCCTGACAATCCAGAGATGCGGGCGGAGTCTGTCTCGGAAGAGAGGCAGCTGGAAAACGAAAATCCACTGTGTTGTGGCGCTCCAGGCTAGAAAAAGGGACTGCGAATCGGTAGATTCAAGCCACTACCCCATTTTCCTCTCCGTCACACTAGTTTTCTTTTCCGTTTTTCTTCTCTTTTCTTTTCATTTTCTTCCTTTATTTTCCTGTTTGGTCTGGTTCCCCCGACCGACCGACCGTACTTCGAGAAGGCCAAGTGTAGGCCGAAGGAGAAAAGCCCTCTTCCGGAGAGCAAGTGACAGTCGGAGTTCCAGCCTCCCGCACTCCCCGCAGAGCCAGGGTGGGGGGCCAACCTCTTCACTGGAGCCTGGCCCGTGTTTCTGTCTCAGACAGTCTGGACGACTGGACCAGGGCGTCCGTTTCTCCGCTGAGCCCCAGACCTAGAGTGTGCTGCGACCCTGGCCCCTCGGGGAGCGGCATGTCTGTATTTTATTTTAACGAGGGGACCTGGCCCTTGGGTCCGGCCTTTCTCGTGTCTCATTCCCGCGGCGCCAAGCTGCGGTAGGACGCCCGCCGCGTGTCCAGTCCTGTCCTTACCAAGCCCTGATGCCCTGCAAGGTCCCCTGTGCGCACGCCGGCCCGGCTGCGGCGCCCTGGTGCAAGGGTTGAGCGCCGCCACCACTGCCAAAGCCTCCCAGGTTGCTCACGTTCACAAAGGATCCACCTCCGGTGGCGCTGCAGGCGGGCTGCATGGCGGTGGTCGCTGCCGAGGCCCCGCCGCCGCCACCGCCTGTCGGGTAGGCACAGCCATAGCTGCCGCTGTAGGCCGCGGCTGCGGCTGCGGCTGCAGCCGCTGCTGCTGCGGCGGCGGCCGAGTTCCCGTAGCCGTAGGCGGGGAAGCTGTTGTAGGAATAGGCGCCGGCGCCCACGCTGTAGGGCGAGCCATAGGCCTGCGCGCTGGGCGTGACGCACGGCTTGCCGTCCCGCACCAGCACCGGCACTGCCACGCGGCGAGGTGGCGGCGGCGGCGCGTGCGTCCCCAGCTCCAGGGACTTGTCCTGCCGCTGTCTCTTGCACTTGTACCTGCGATTCTGGAACCAGATTTTCACCTGCGTGGACGTGAGCTTCAGACTGCTGGCGAGGTGCTCGCGCTCGGGCGCCGACAGGTACCGCTGCTGCTTGAACCTGCGCTCCAGCTCGAAGACCTGAGCTTGCGAGAAGAGCACCCGGGGCTTCCGGCGGCTGCGCGGCTTCGGCCTCTCGCCGTCCTCGTTCGCCTTACAGTCTGCAGTCGCTTCTAGAGATTTCTTCAGCTGGCAGCATTCTGCGTAGAGAAGCAAGACCTTAGCCCAGTTCAGACTCCCCGTATAGCACCCCAACGCATAGTAAATGCTTAGATCTGGAGAAAGTTCATAGTTTCTGGTACTCAAGGGCCCTGCGTGAGACCGAGCACCTCCCCAGGAGGAGTCACTTTTGGTGGGGAGTAGTTAGTTTGCATTTATTAGAACTTGAGTATCTGCGAGAAAAGAGATTAAGTGTGCGACTCGACGCGCTAATAACTATTTTCAAGATGAAAGCTTGCGTCTGCATTAACAACAGTATTTGCAAACTCGTTTGCCTACCACTCACCAAGGATACCTGAAGGTGTGAACGTGTTGGTATTGGGAACAGGCAGCCTGGATGTGGGATATACGGGTTGATTAAGGAATTTTTTTTCTGCTCGGAAATATCTTAAGTGTAAGGCGCAACTTAAGAACTGATTTTTTCTTATCAAAACTACTATGTGAAACAATATTTGTATATTACCTTACATAGGAAAAAAGTTGGATGGACCAATTTAGACAGTTTTGTGTCTGTTTTAGGCCTGGAGAACAGACAGAGAAAAAACCTTGTTCTCAGCCACATCAAACCTCCACTTGGAGAAGAGATTCTTTGATTCTGTCTTCCTTTCAGACATTTCCTGCAGGGTTATTCAGTTATCCGATTTCCTACCACCTCTGGTTTGTTAAGCATTCAGAACGCCAGCTAAATTCTTCACTTTACCTCACCCTATTGGCTTGCAGCCTGAGACACAAAGCTAACGCTAGGATTTTTTTTTTTTAAAGCCTTCACTTCATGGGTGTGAGTGGTGCGGTCATCTGGAGTGGATCGTGCTCCCACACACCGACCATCCCTTCTCTTCAGAGTGCTAGCTCCAAGCTCAGAAGTAAGGTAAAGTCCATCAAAGTTCCTTGTCTGCAAGGACGCCAAATACACAACCTGCTGGCACTGCATTTTCAAGAAAGCAGGGGTGACTGCCCAGCCTCATTCTGGAACTCAGCACACATAAAGCAGAAAAATGGCCAGATTACTGACTCCTTTTTGAGAAGAGGGGTATTTGAGAAAACACACACACACCACGGTGTTAGAACCCAACCGCTGGGCCCCTGTCACTTCTCGCTTATCTGAACCCGGGCTGTAAAAACCACTTTCCTTTCCCTCAGGGGCTGCTCCCGCTCCTCCCTGCTCTGCAGAAGAGGGGTCACCAGAACCACCACTTTCCCCTGTCTACCCTAGCTGCATCTCAGGTACCTGCGCTTTGCAGAGCTGTCCTCGAACCTGGCTAGGCATGACTCTAGCCAAACGTGAAAGGGGCGGGTGGCCATGCTGGCACGGTTTGTGGGTTGTTTATGGGAGCTGAGCCATTGCCCCAGGTGTAGGGACGCATTTCCTTTCCCCCCCTACTCACTTTGGCTCCGTTCTCTCACAACCTCCTCTTCTTGTTCCTTGGGCCTGCTGCAGGAGTCTCGAAGGACTGTATGGACATAGCTTTGTGGACAGAGACCTGAATCTCCGTGGCCCTCGGCAGCAGCTAGTGAGTTCAAATAGGATAGTTTCTCTCCCTCTTCTTCCTCGTCCTCCTCCCCTGCATCAGAAAACTGTGTCCCGTCAGTCGCAGCCAGCATGCAGGGAGCCGAGTGGAAGTGCTGCTCCAGCTCCGCCTGCAAGTGAGCTCCGTGGAAATGCTGCTGCTGCTCCAGATTCAAAATGTCTTTGACTGAGAAAGGGGTGGAAGTGACCGGGCTTGGTAACATCATCAGGGCCACTTAATTGTCCAGTCCAAATACTCAATAAATCCCGGCGGGGGCGGGGAGGCAGAGCGGCGGCTCCAGCTCTTCCTCTGGACTCCGCGGTGCTGCGGAGTCGAGCTTTTGACAGACGCGGTCCTGCTCCAGTCTAAATCGCCTCCATTGGCCGGGACCTGGGGGTCTGGGTTTTGTTACAGCCACTGCAAGGACTGGGGCCGGGGCTGTGAAGCCTCTGTCCGGGGGCCGTGCGTCACGTCGAGGGGCGGGGTCGGCATCCTGGCCTCCTTCCTAATTGGTTCTGGCATATGTGAGCCACGCCCTCCGCGTCCACCCAGTGGGATGTTGCTGCGCTACCAGAAATAGACAGGGACTAGAATAGGGTCTTGAGGTCCAAGTCGCTGTGGGAGAGCTCTATTGAACCGGGTGTCCGAATCATCGATTCCCGTTCCACCTAGCCGACCAGAGGCAATTTTGAGAGGCTCACTGTCCGTGATCCAACAAAGTCCTAGAAGGATGGCACAGACTGGCTTTTCCAGCTGCTTCGGGGCAGGAAAACTTCCTGGCCAGTAAACAGCGGACGGTGGATTCCTCAGGAGACGAATCCTGTATCTGTGGAAATATGAGCGACGCGTCAAATCCCACCTTGTCTTTACTGTAGCTGTTCTCACCACGTGGAGTGCCTTTTCCATCCTCAGTTCCACGAATGGAAAACTGTTCTCCGAGGCTCTACTCAAATACCACGTCCTCCAAGGAATCGCTGCCAGGCCGCCTAGCCCGGAAGTCCTCTTCCTCTGAACTTGCTCCGTTAGTAATGTCACTTGTCACTCCCCGTCACCTAGTGCTACGTATGGCAGGTTGTGTGTGTCCTCCTGGTTGTCAAGTTAGATTGCCAGTCCCTGAGGGCAGGGTCCAGGTCGCATTTGCCCTTGCCGCCTTTGCAGTGGCTGCAGACAACAGGTATCTGAAAGACAGATGAAGTACTTTGGTGTCTGCTGCTCTTGCTTCGAATCCTGGCCTGAGTCAATATTGGGTCTTTGACATTCTCAGTTTCCTCGGCCATATAAAGGAGCCGAATTCCCTCTTCTAGGTAATTGCTCTAGGTAAATAGGACTAACCAGGCCGGAAGCATAGTGCAGGTCTAAGAATGCTAAGGGCTCAAAACGTGTAACTTTCCTTTTTCTGCCTCAGAGGTCAGAACAGTCGTTGACATTGATCCTGACCTGGCGGGAGCACACGTCGCACACTGGGCAGCTTTATGAGAGCAGAGGTTGTGAGAGCCGATTCTGATCTCAGAACGGAGGTAACCCAGCTGTGGGGGCAGCTCTCTCCTCCTCTGAAGTCTTGGCCCTGAGTACAGATAGGCCTCAACTTTCAGAAGCGCCTTATTTCTCTACCTGTTGGCTTTCGGGCGCGTTTCTGAGACAGCGGTTGCATTCTGTGGGGAGAATATATGTAGACTCTAAAAACTGCCTGGTGGGGACCACCTTCTGGCATTCACCTGCCTATAACTTAACCCTCTGAATAGCAGCGGCCCCTATTGTGAAGCTAACAACAAAACGCGTGGGCAGCACGCCTGGAAGCAACAAATGAGGAGTGGTTCTGGTTTCACCGCGGGGGTTCCTCACCAGACCGCCCCTGGCTTTTGTTTGTTTCCTCACCCCCCCCCCCCACCGCACAGTTGGGAGAGACTGGCCTCAACTGGAAAGGACGGCTGGAAGGCACTGGGACTGAGGATAACGCCCTGGGAAACGGGTAGACACGGCACGAATAGGGATTACGTGGAGGGTGGCCTCGTGGAACCCAGCGACAGCAGAAGGAGAGGGTGCCCCAGGCCCTGGAGAAAGGGTTCGGAGGAGAGGGAGGCGGGGCTCTTGGGGGAGAGCGGAAATGCTGCGCCCCGGGCCACCGGGGAAACTGGGACGAAGCTCCCTCCACGTGCCCTGGGGGAAGTGGGAATGGTCGTCTGTGGGTAGGCCCTCGAAACCTTTCTAGGCCGCAGGAGCCTTTTCGTTTTTTAAGACTTGAGCCTCAGGCGGGGACCACGGTCGCTACAGAAGGCGAGTCTGCGGAGGGAAGAGTGCGCCTGGTTTTGCGGTGGATCCCGAGCGAACGAGGTGGGGTGAGTGCGTGGCACTGCAGGGTCGGGGACTTTGAGCGCCTCCAAGCTGGCAGTGAGAGGACCAGAAGGAAACCGCGCTCCAGTCTCAGTCCCCAAGCTCTGCCGCAAGGCAAAACCGTCGCGGAGGAATTCTTGTTCCCTTCTGATCTCCATTTTTTTTTTTTAAGTTTTCAGGTGATTTCAAGATTTGAACAAAAAAGATAAAAGCTATTTGCTTCCATTGGAAGCGCGTATTTCCCCTTGCTTGTTTTCTTGCGTTCTAGCGTTGCTTCGCCCTCACCTAAACGTTGCTCCAGAAACTGGTCTTAGATTCATGACTGAGTGAAACCCAGTCCAACAAGGCCAGGAACTCAGTGGCACACCCACACACCTGCTGCAGCCCGCTAGGCCCACTCCGGCCTCTTCTCTCTGCTTCCCACCTGCAGAGCACGTGGCGGGGTCTCCTCCAAATCCTATGGCCGCCACTACCTGGTTAGGTATTCTCAAAACACACCTGGACCGCTCTCTCTTGAGAACCCTGGCCAAGCTGCTCCACAGCAGGCTGGGACCAGACTACACCTGAGAGGACCCGGTGGGGAGACTGGTAAAGTGCCAGCTAGGGGCTCTATGGCCTAACCTGCTCTCCCCTCACTAACCTGGGACAACGCCGGTTCCGACTTTTATCCACCACCTTGACTTTTACGATTGATTGATCTTTGAATTTTGTCTAGAGCAGGGGTTCTGGTCATCTCCAGCTTCTCTTTCCAAGTTGTTTAGTCTTGTCTTATACTGGTTTCGAAGTAGCAGGTTCCCAGGCAGGCCAACCGCCTTCAGGTGGCCTGTCTTTCCCGCTCAGGCACCCGGCACCCGGCACCCGGCACCCGAAAGGACTTTAGATCTGTGGACTGCCAGCTGTTCGCCGCTGTAGGGGAGGAAAACTCCGGTGCAGGAGCCCGCTTCCTCCCTCCCACTCCCCGGGACCTGCTGCTGCTTATCGGGGTACAGAATCTAGTTCCACTCGGTATCCAGTTACTAGCGCGTTCGGGGGCATTTGCATTCTCTTGTCTGAAAAGATCTTAGAAATCTTAGATTCTTGCTCAGTTAACAATAGGTTTTCGTATCAGACACTCTAGCCAACTACTGTCAGATAAAGTAAATATGACTGCAGTTTGGCTTAGTTTTAGTCCTAAGTGTTTGCCTGGGTTCACCTCCATCACCTAGTACACATCACAAGCCCCTCCCATCGGATATTTGATTACAGATCTTGCTGAAGTGGTGGCAAATTCCCTGGGGGGGGGTGCTTTATAGACGTGTATATATAATAAATAAAATTATAGCTGTTAAAGAGCCTTGTGTTAACCATTACAGTAATTGCATTACCGAAGGAAAAACGTGGCAACTTTTGAAAGCTTTGTGTTAGCAGTCGCTCGTTTCCTCCACATGTAAAACAGGCAACAGTTTTTCTACCACTTCACACCATGGTCTCAACACGCAGCTGTTTAATTATGGAATCAGGGCCCCGTTTTTAATTTTTTAATGTAGCACTACAGTCATTTTCTATTCAATTATGAAAAAATAAACCATAAACTCAACTGGCCGGATACATGAAAATTTCGGTGAGTTTTTAATCTACTTGAAGGCTGTCCTAGAAATTGCTTTTTAATGATTCGCACACACAAAGAAAGAACCGAAGTGAGGAAGGGCTTCGTTTCAGTGGTGACGCTAAGTGGAATGCCATTGACTTGTTGGTGGCAGCAGTGGCGTGCTAGACCTGGTTTTGGTCCTGTAGAGACGACAGAAAACTGTCCCCAACTCCCGCGCAGACCGGTGTTAATGCTGAAAAAGGGTGAATCCATTCCCTGACTTGAGTTATAAATCTGCTCCCTAACGGCCGAGCGTGTGTATAATTGTACGGAGATGCATTGCTTGCTTCTAGAAAGCGTTAAATGTATCTAATTTCTTGAGTGTGTGTTTTTGTGGTGAACTAATGTTGTGTGAGGGATTTTTAAGTGGGCTGTGAGCACAGAGCTTGTTTTGCACGTGTGGGTAATTTTTCTAGATTTTGTTTGGAATTAATTTTCTAAACAGATCATCATTTCTCTTCCCGGAGAGAAAAATCAGTCCAAATCCAGTGAATTGTGTGGTCTGTGGAATAAATTACAGGCCATCTCTGAGAGTTTCGGTTTCTCAGGCGAGGAGTTCTCACTCATATCTTCTCAGATCTGACCCACCAACACTTTAAAAGATAAAAATGTAAATTGAGACTTCTTCACCAAAACCAGTTCCTTTACGGCCAGTACGACATTGGAGTCAGAGGGCTATCTCCGTGGAAAAAGACCTCAATATTTCTTCTAACAAAAATGCCTAAAACAAAGGGTGCTTTACGCGGTTATTTGTATTGATGTGTGTGCTATTTGAAAATGCAATGAGCAGTTTTAACTAGAGGATTTAATTGGAATGCGGAATGCATTCCGTAGGGTTTTTTTTTTTTTAAAAAAAAAACTTCCTGTAGCTAAATTTTAACGACTTCTAAATTTTAACCTTCCAAAAATACAATCTAACTTCAGAAAGTCTTTTTAAGTCTTTGGCGAATTAATTCACTCAAGCAAGAGCGACTGCCTTGCCGGTTCTCGCAATAGCTGAGCAGACGAGTAGGAAGAGCCCGAGAAGTGGCACTCGCCTTAGGAACAGCAGATTGGTCTCTCGTCTCTTCCTCAAACTACCCTCTCCGTATTGCCTACTCTCAACCGCAAACCTACTTCTACGGACCTTGGCCTCCTGGAGTTACCTAAAAACTTGCTTCCCAGTCAGACGCTCTGGAGTCACTTAGGGAGAATAACTTCAAACCATTCGAGAAAGAAAAATACCTTTCCTATTTGCAAGAAAGCAGCGTTGCTGGTTTAAATCTCTCATGTGTGTTTTCATTTGGTTCTGTCTGCGTGGGACCCAGAGGTTCGACTCTGGTCCGCTCTTGGGCGGGGGGGAGGAGGGGGGGAGGGTAACGATTCCCTAGATTAGTCGGGACACTCCGTCGGTCACCCAAGAAAAGTCTCTGGACACCCTGGCCCTGAGGCTCACCGCTCCGCTCCCCAAGGGAGTCCAGGTTTTCTCCTCAGTGCGCTGGGTTGGGCGGTGCGTGGGGCAGTGAAATGTGGGCTTTACCCGGAATTGGATAGAAATAGGAGGTGGAGAGCGTCGAGGCCTCAGATGGGCGTAGTGACCAGTGGAGGTTCACAGCCACAAGATCAGAGGCTTGATGCACCCCAGAACCCAGGTTCAGGCTACAACCCCAGGCCTACTAGACGCAGCTTCCTCGCCCACTCCGAAATTTCGGGTCAAGGTCAAGGACTTGAGGGTTTCAGGCTGCGGGCCTGAAGGTGATGGGGACTTACTCGGTCCTGCTTGCCAGCCGGCTCTGCCTCTCTAAGCTCCCGCGCTGTTTCAGCGAACTGCTGGCTTTCGGCCGACGCGCCTCTCTCCAGCTTTGCGACCCCAACAAACCAGAGCCTTAAGGACCTCTGTTAAGGCGTTGTCTTTGTCCTTGAGCGTGCCTCTAGGATCTCAAACCTCCCCACTCCAGAGAAGAGGATCTTCTCACCGGTTCAGGCGCTGAGGTCCCCCGAAACTCCAGAGTCTAGGACTGTAGAATCCCAGGACCTTTCTCTTGGCAGCCTTCCCCGCAGCCACCCTTCCCTCCCCGCTGGAGGCCACATTTTCCCCACCGCCTTCTTCTCCCTTTTTTCTCTGGGTCCTTTTCCTTCTTCACTCCCACTTCCTTTCTCCCACATCCCCCCCTCCCCCCATCCATCTTCCAGCTTCGTTTAAAATTCTGTCTCTACTCCTTCCCACCTGTTGGTTTCCCGTTTTCTCACCTCCTCCCTTTTTTATTTCATACTCTCCCATCCTAGCCTAGAGGCTGTTAGTTTTGTTTTTGTTTTAAAGTCTTGGTTCCCACCGGTGTTTGATTTAAAAAATAAAAATAAAAAAGCTAGGCTTCAAATCAGCGCTGCTCAAGTGAGATCGACCAAGTTGAGCAAAGCTCCATTCATGAGCTGTTTCCCAAATCCCAGCTCTGTGCCCGGGCCTGCTCAGGAAAATGCCCGAGCATCTTTGGTCAAATGAAAGGGATCCTATTCCCTGCCCCGCTCCATCTCCTAAGCTGTCTCTCACGTCCCACCCCCACCCTTACTCCCCAGCAGCGGTGTGTGTGTTGGGGGGGGGTGAGGGTGGTGTGTGGTGTGTAGACTCCAGGTGGCTGGCTGGGCTTCCCTCCTTGTGGAAATCCCCTCCAGGCTGATCCCGAGGAGCCTGCACTTCCTTCTATTGTGGCTGTCCAGAGAAGCCCGTGCTGGGGGTGAGCCTGAGGCCCCCACTTCAGACATCCCTTAAGAGTAGATGGGGTCTCCCAGACAGGGACCATGGCTCCACACCTCACAAAGGTAGATAGGAACCCTCCTTTCCTGAAAGCACCGTTTGTATGCTGGGGGTTGTTCAACCTTGAGATCATCCCAGCTAGATGCACCCAGGACCACTTTGAATTTCTGGGGCCAAATCTGGGAAAGAATAGTGGGTTCTTAATCATCTCATTCAGCCAGCCTTGTAAGGAGCTCAGGTCCAGTGTTCTATCTCTGTAGCCACCCCTCCCATCCTTCTAAGCTGCCTGTTTTGGGGCAGCCACTAAGTCACTGACCTCCTGAGGTGAGGTACACTAGACTTCAGGATTTCTTCCTGTGTCTTTAACTGCTTGGCAGACACTGGCCACCCTCCGATCCACCTCGACCCTTTCACCTTCAATCCA